GAGAAAACTTCCTTTGTTGATTACACTGCTTTTAGCATTATCTGTGAATAGGGGAAGAGCCTGATAAGTCAAGGGATTCTCTCCCCCCATTCCCAGATCAGGTCACAAGTCAGTGTAATCAATAAAAGATGTTTTCTCAATACAGAAGAAGGAAGTAAGGGCTGTGTACCCATTGGATCATCTGTACTGCAATTCTGCCTGAAGCTGTCAACTATCGCAGCTTCGGAAGTTCAGAGACAGGAAGAGGACAGGCATCCTGCAGTGAAGGTTCCCCGAAAATTCTGAAGTGTGCACAATGTGAGACATACTGTACAGTTCCTCAGAGAAGTGATGTGACTAAACCTGTAAGGATTTTAAACTTCAGCTTTAAATGTATCTAGTGTAAGCACCTGCATTTCAGTGAGGTTCAGCCTCTGCTGCATTCAGACTGGGAGTGGCAGCACTAGGAGCCAATCAGGTTTGCTGTTTTCAAATGTGTTAACGAGAAACATGGTTATAGGAAGATAAAAAGTGAGAAGAGGGCTGACCTCATCAATCTCCTGCTCCTCTTTTCCACTTTCCAATCAGCAAGTAGATGAAGAGAGGACACCAATCTACCATCTACATAAGAGAAAGTATTAACTGCCTATCAGTGCTTTCTATCAGGTTTATAAATCTCAGAACCTGATGGTCAGAAATATGAATTCATTGGCAGATAAAAAGCCCCTATATATGTATTTTATCAGTGTATTTAGCGGTTTTCTCAGGAGATCAGCTTTAGAAGCTCATTTTATTATTATACAGGATTTATATAGCGCCAACAGTTTGCTCAGCGCTTTACAATATAAGGAAGACAGTACAATTACAATACATTGTAAGCCGGAGGGTCCGGCTCATGGAGCTTACAATCTAAAGGAAGGGGGAGGTGATACAAAAGGTGATAGCTGCGGGGGATGATCTGGCGGAGGTGATTCAAGTACAGTTCTTAGGTGGAGGTGGGGTAGGCTTCCCTGAAGAAGTGAGTTTTCAAAGATCGCCTAAAGGTAGACAGGGTGGGGGCTGACCGGACATAATGTGGTAGGAAGTTCCAGAGGATGGGAGAGGCTCTGGAAAAGTCATGGAGGCGAGCGTGGGAGGAGGTGATGAGGGAGCTAGAGAGGAAGATATTTGTTTGTTTATAGTTGTATATTTATTTTCATTTAAAATAATAGTCAGCAGAGGTTGCTGTGGGACTGAATTTAACCATTTCAATACCGGGCAATTTTACACCTTCCTGCCCAGGCCAGTTTTCACGTTTCAGCGCTCTCACACTTTGAATGACAATTGCGCGGTCATACAACATTGTACCCAAACTAAAATGTTATCATTTTCTTCACACAACTAGAGCTTTCTTTTGGTGGTATTTATTCACCTCTGGGGTTTTTATTTTTTGCTAAATTAACAAAAAAAAGACCAAATATTTAGAAAAAAACCCACGTTTTTCTTTGTTTCTGTTATAAAAGTTTACAAATAAATTATTGTTCTTCATAAATTTAGGCCGAGATGTATTCTGCTACATGTCTTTGGTGAAAATAACCCAAATTAGGATGTATTATTTAGTTTGTAGGAAAGTTATAGAGTTCACAAACTATGGTATAGATCTGAATATTGATCAAGTACTGACGGCCAATCTAATTTCTTGAGGTCCAAGAATGTAGAACAGTACAGATATCCCCCAAATGTCAGGACAGTACAGATATCCCCCAAATGTCAGAACAGTACAGATATCCCCAAATGACCCCTTTTTGCAGAGTAGACAGTTCGACGTACTTCATAAGAGGAATGGCGAGTTTTTTGAAGTTGTATTTTTTTTGTCATAATTTTTCGGAAAATGAAAAAAATTTAAAAAAATTTCACTATTTTTTTTTTTACATACTGTCACCAGTGCAATACAGCGTCATCATATAACTGGCATAGCGGTGAACAGGGACAGTGACTGGTGAACAGTATGAAAAAAAAAAATATATATATATTTATTTTTTTTTATTATTTTTAATTTTTTATTACATTTTTTTTATTTTTTTTAAGATTTTTTTTTCATATTTTACTATGACCAAAGTAGTACAATGTTACCATAGTAACATTGTACTACTTTGGGGAAGTGATCAGTATTTTTTTTTTTACACAATTTGCTTATAGCAAAGAATTACTTTGCTATAAGCAAGCATTTACCTGAATGACATCGATTCATTCAGGTTTTTTTTGTGCTTAGCTGTGATTTGGCCACAGCTAATCACATGACATGTGCATGTGACCTGCTGTGACCATTCACAGCTAGGCACTAGTATACAATGGATGGCATTGTATACAATGAATGAAGCCATCCATTGTATACAACTGTCATGTGACCTGCTGTGATTGGTCACAGCAGGTCACATGGTACCGGCAACGGGGGCCGGTACTCAGATCTGTCATCAGCCGTGTCCGAGGTACACGGCTGGTGACAGATCGCGCCGCTGCACGGCTCTGCAACCGTGCAAACTGTGCATGTGCGGGAGGATGCCAAATGGCGTAAACCCGGAAATCTGCAGCATTTTTGCGGCCGCCAAACGGCTATAGGCCGGGTAGCTAATGGTTGAATTTGCCTTCTGGGATTCTGCAAGTAATGTTCTGGGTAGAGAAAGCAAAAGGTGACACAAAAACAACAAATGAAAAAAAAAAATATTCCACATACTAAAGAAAGAATATTGAATGTCTTGAAGTAATCTAATGCAACATTCATACCTTTTTATGTTTGCTGCTTTACAATTTAATTATTGTATTTCACCGTTTGCCCTGTGTTTGACTTAAAGTGCATTTATGCTTTAAATTAGGCAAGTTCACAGTTACGATATAGGATGGGGCAATAAAGGACAAACTGTCATTCATACAAGCCATGATGCTCTTACCTATGTACAAATCTTTTGCTCTCCAGGTAGGCGAGCGCAGTGCTGAGCTGATACGCGTAGAGGATAAGGGACGCCAGGTCCAGGTTGTATTTTCGAACTTGTAAAAACGATCGCAACTGTTGATAGAAGATTTATAAAAAAAAAGAGTAGGTATCAGTATAAGACTTACAAAGAATCATTAAAACTTTGCAGTGGTGACCTGTGAGGACACAAACAAGGGAGCTACAACTGTGGTCTTGCGGACTTTGTTTTGAAGGTACATGCTCTAGGGTTGTCAATCCCATCCTGATTTTATTGCCTTGTGAGTGGCCTGGAACAAGTCTGCAGCTTTTGTAATCTGACCTCCAATCCTGCATGTTGTTCAGTAACTCGCTAGCTGGTGAAGCCAGGATTAGGACGGCATCTTTGGAACCTGCTCCTTTAAAAACAGGTTAGCGCCCCCACTATCTGGCGATGGATTTTCCCTCCACATCCTCAAGCCCATAGCAGGACTGTAGACCCTGCTCTGGTCTTCATGACGTCAGGACTCCACGTCAGTGGAGGATCGGGTAGATATATTCCTTTTTTTGTTCCCCTAGACCAGGGGTAGGAAACCTGGGGCTCTCCAGCTGTTGCAGGACTACAAGTTCCATCATGCCTCTGCAAGTCATAGCTGTAACTGTCAGTTTTGTAATGCTGCAATGCCTCATGGGAAATGTAGTTCCACAACAGCTAGAGATCCGCAGGTTGCCTACCCCTGACCTAGACATAAAAAAGCAATTAACCTTGCAGTACAAGCGCCCCCTCTTCAAGGGATAGTTAACATGCCTGGAGCTAGGCTTTAAATCAACAAGATATTGCATATAATATTGGCACCCTATTTATCAGGGAATTTGATTAGCGATTAAAAACATTGTAACAATTTGGGATACTAATTTTACGAAGGCAGAAGCTTGCTGATTGAAAAGTGTATTGCTTTAAGGTGACTTATTGCACCACCTATGGCCAAAATGAAGAGAACCAGAAAAGACTGCCACCGTGCCACAGTCAAAAACCCAATTTAGCTTTATTCTGTGGGGGGGAAAACCCACCGCAGCCACATTCAGTAGGTCTTTCAAAGTGCTTTGGAAGTCCTGCAGTCATGTGTTATCTTCCGGTACCTAACAAGAGCCATGTTTGGAATTGGGAGGACAATAAGCCTTTATCTTCAAAGCCGGGGCAGGGGTCTCTCTGCAAAGGTTTAACACGTCCCCTATGGAGTTACAGCTAGATTCCCTCCAATCAAGAGGGTTTATGAGATTTTCTGATTGCAGAGCCAAAAAAAAAAAAAAAACAAGAAATAAATATTTTGCACACCTCTGTTTTTGTGCACCTGGGATAGACTTATGCAGGCCATAGATGATTCATTTATCAGCCAAATTTTCGTCCGAAAGAATAATTGGCTGATATTCGCACCGTTAGTGGGGCAATGTCGTTGGCCAATTTTCGAGGTTCCTCCTAGTTTCTTTCATCGGTTATGCTGGAAAATTTACGAAAAACGGGCGATTTTCGTAAGCATTGGTTGCAACAGAACGACCGATTTTTCCAGGCGAAAATTCGGCCGATAAACGAAACGTCTATGGCCTGCATTAGCCGATTCAAACAAAGTTCAGGTGGGCTTTAACCACTTGCCTTCCAGAGGATTCCCCCCCTTCCTGACACACGGCCATTTTTTGCTATACGGCGCTGCGTTACTTTAACTGACAATTGTGCAGTCATGCAATGCTGTTCATAAATGAAATGTATGTCCTTTTTTTCCCCACAAATAGAGCTTTATTTTGATGGTATTTGATCACCTGTGCAGTTTAAATTTTTTGCGCTATAAACAAAAAAAGACTGACAATTTTGAAAAAACAAAACAATTTTTTTTGCCTTTTTTTGCTATAAAACATCCAGTAAAAAATCTAATTTCTTCATAAATTTAGGCCAAAATGTCTTTGCTAAAAAAAAAAAAAAAAACCCAATACATGTGAATTAATTGGTTTACATGCAAGTTATAGCGTCTACAAATGGCAGTATATATACACTGGAATTTTAAATTTTTTTTATACTAGCAATGGTAGAAATCAGAGATTTATAGCGGGACTGCTGCAGGCATATTGACACTCGGTGGGAACTAACTGCCACTGACATCCCCAGTGACATTAATACAGTGATCAGTGCTAATAAAAAGCACTGACACCGTACTAATGACACTGGGCAGGAAGGGGTTAACATCTGGGGCAATCAACGAGCTAAGTGTGTGCTGTTTTACATTATGTGCTGTGTGTGTTTTACTAGGAAGACATGCTGCTTTGTATTTCTCTGCTGTGCATGTCCTTGCTGGCAGAAGAGGGACCTGTGTTGTTTACACACAGTTCTCTCCCCTGTCAGCTGTCCCCAATAATTGCCAGGTGCCAGTGGGGAATCTCTGGTCAGGTCCCGGTGATTGATATCCCTAGCCGCCAATGGCGGTGCGGGTAGGGCAGTGTGCAAGAAAAAAAGTGTGTGTGTGTGTGTGATTTTGTGCAGTCCTGCCACCCTGTAGCAGTACTTCTACTATAGGGTGGCAGGCAAGCGGTTAATGATGGCGTGATGCATTTTGTGATAGGGAAAAGCAAGATTGTAAAAGTTAGCACTTACCTCTCCCAGTGTACACAGCTCCATGATTATCCACACTGGGTTTTCGGTTATCACTCCGATTAACTTCACAATATGCGGGTGGTCAAACTGACGCATCGTTACTGCAAAGAAAAAAAAAAAGATCATCATTGAAGTATATATAAAAAGCCTTTTTATAGTGTCTTTTTGGCAATACGTGTGCAGCTCAATTTAAACATTTGTTCCAATCTGTGCTAATGTCTTAAGAACCTTGTCCTTAGGTGTGGATTGTAATTACAGAAGAACATGAGGGCAGTCATATTTGTTCAATTGATAATCAGGCTCTGCCTTCTTCTTTCTACACAATGACTGTGCTTCACAATGCTAGTCCGGTGAGTCAGAAAACTCACTGAAAAAAATCCGCTTGAAATCAGTGGATTTAGCAGCCATGCAGAAGAGTATTTATTTTTAAATAAAGGTGCCAAGGGGAACATCTAATTGGAAGTACTTTAGCTTTTTGTGTGCGACAGACTTGCAGTAAGGCAGAGTCATGGTGCCTGCATATGAATTAGTACATATGGATGCGTTCATGTACGTTTTTTTAAAATGATTTTAAAGGTTTTTTCTCTTTTTAAAACAAACATATACTATACTTACCTACTGTGTGCAGTGGTTTTGTACAGAGCAGCCTGGATCTTCCTCTTCTTGGTCCCACGCAGGCTCTCCTAGCTCCTCCTGTCTGTCGGGTGACCCCACAGCAAGCAGCTTGCTATGGGGGCACCCGCTGCTCTGTGTGTGAATGGCCCTGCCCCCCCTCACTCTTCTTTGGCTGACTGGCTGTGATTGACAGCGGTGGGAGCCAATGGCTCCCTCTTGCTGTTTCAGCCAATGAGGAGGCAGAGACCCGGGACAGCCGAGGCTGTCATTCACATCGCTGGATTGCGATGAGGCTCAGGTAAGTATTGAGAGGGCTGTGGGCACTGCTACACACAGGTTTTTTGCCTTCATGCATAGAATGCATCATGAAGGTAAAAAACTTTCAGCCTTTACAACCACTTTAATTATAGACAATACAGAGAACGTAGTTGTGCCTTACTCAGTAACATATGTATGCTGGGCAGTTATTGAGATAGAGATAACAAAATTGCTGTGGGAATCATGTGAATTAAACAAGCAGGATTGCATTTACATTTACACTGAACTTTTTATGTAAAAAGAGCGACTGTCAAACTACTGCAGTCTTCAAAGTGTCAAAGTGGAACTAAACTCTGCCATACTTACCTTCACGTCAAAGGTCCCTGCGAAGTCCCCCGCCAGCATCTTCTGTCCAGCTTCTCCCAATTGCCAGTCTTTGGCTATCATGATTGTCCAGTTTGAGATGTACAGTCATCCTGGCACACAGGCACTGTGATGGAATGCAAACTTAGCTGTGAGCAGGCAGGTAGGTTTACATTTTTGCAGAAAAGACATTGCATGTCTCTTCCGCAATAAAGAGCCTGACTGCTCAGTTTTTTTTTTAACATCAGACTTTAGTTCTGCTTTAATGTGGATGGACATAGCAAGAAATATTTTCTCAGCTACTGAAATGTATTGTACAAGATGAGTCTGGCTCCTCATTCAATTAAAATTCTTCAACAGGTTAACCACTTGCCTACCGGGCACTTATACCCCCTTCCTGCCCAGGTCAATTTTCAGCTTTCAGCGCTGTCACACTTTGAGCGACAATTGCGCGGTCATGCTACACTGTACTCGTATGAAATTTTTATCATCTTTTTTTTTTTATAGACAGAGCTTTCTTTTGGTAGTATTTAATCACATCTGGGTTTTTTATTTTTGTTTAAAAACCAAAAACAACTGCAAATTTTGAAAAACCTTTTTCTTAGTTTTTGTTATAAAATTTTGTAAATAAGTGATTTTTCTCCTTCACTGATGTGCGCTAATGAGGCTGCAGTGATGGGCACTAATAGGTGGCACTGATGAGGAGGAAATGGTAGGTGGCACTGATGGGCATTGACAGGCATCACTGATGGGCACTCATATATGGCACTGATAGGCGGCACTGACTGGCACTGTTAGGTGGCACTGACTGGCGGCACTGATAGGCAGCACTGACGTGCACTGATCAGTGGCACTGATATGTGGCATTGATGTGGCACTGATGGGCACTGGCAGGTGGCATTGATGAGCACTGACAGGTGGCACTGCTGGGGCTATACTGATCATCAGGGCACACTGATCATCAGTGCCCTGATGATCAGTGTACATGTCCCCTCTGAGGAATGCCGATTACCGGCTCTCCTCTCGAGCTGTCAACGTGACAGCTTGAGAGGAGAGAGAAATGCCGATAACCGGCATTTGCTTATTTACATGCGATCAGCTGTGATTGGATACAGCTGATCACACGACCGAGCCGACATCTTCGGCTCTTTGTTGATCGGTGATCTGCTGTGTCCGAGGGACACGGTGCACCACCGATCACCGCTCTGCGCACCCCCAAAGCCTAGCATGCGCAGTTAGAGTGGGAGGACGTCATATGACATCCTCCCAGAATGAGAAAACCGCCTTGCGACCGTCATTTCCTTATATGGGCGGGCGGAAGGCGGTTAAACAAGTAAATAGACCACAAGCCAGGCCTGTATTAAAATGCAAGTGACTGTGGAGGTAACATCAAACCAAAGACCCCGTTGGGGAGCAAGGATTGATGTGAAAGGGTCGATATTGTGCTTACAATATATTCGAGCAATATAAATTGGGCATGGAGTAAAAATGTTACAATACTGAAATAAACTGCATGTTTCTAGAAAGCACTGATACCCGGTCCCTGGCACTACTACACTACTTACCCTCTACTGCCTGATTTTACAAAGATATTGCCCCCATCGCATTTCCCCTTCCAGTTCAATGTGTGGCTCACTGATGCAGTCCAGGATATACAGCAAGGTATACTTCAGCATATCGAGAAAATTAACCTCAGACCAATCCAGACAAATATTATGAAACATACATTTAAATCACTTCAACGTAAAAACATAGAATGATGATTCTAAGATGACATCTGCAAACGCCTGAAGGAAGGAAGATCAGAGCCTAAATACCATGACCTTCTATAAAAATAATGTGACTATTTTGGAGGGAAAATACAGAGAGATGTCCTCGGGGAGACCTTCTGATAGCTGTCACATTTTATAGATCAGTTTAATGGTGACCAAACTAGAGAAGTGGAGAAAACAAACAGCGAAGACTTACAGGCCTCTTGTAAGAACTTCTCCCGCACACTGTCTGACGTGCAGTTTTTACATGTTTTGATGGCGACAGCCATAGCGGGATTTTCCTGCAGGAAGACAGAAGAGACATATAATTGCAAATGTTTCTGTGAAAGTCTGAGGGATGATCTCACACCCTGTGATGAGCTTGTGCATACTTGGGACTCTTCAAAAAAATTCTGACGATCAGCAGTATCACACAGACGGACAGGGTAGGGCCCCTTTCGCACAGGGCGAACTGACCATTTGGAAACTCGGGCACTGCCCGAGGGTCCGGGGTCAGTAGGGGGCCCCATGAGATGCCCCTGGTACCTTTTTCATAGGCTTTTTTGAGTTTGAGCAAGGACACAGGGGCCCCATGATTTCCTATTGCCCAGGGGCCCCATGAGTTGTCAGTCCGCCCCTGGGGCGAACTTAGCTTTTCACAACAGGGAAGCGGTTGGACCTGATCGGACCCTTCATGTGAAAGGGGCCTAAGAATTCTCTCACTTTGTGCCTATGCAAAAGGTTGAATTAACTTACAATACTGAGGGTATTATTTATATTTTCATTCATTTCAATTCTGTTGCAGTATTGTAGATCTGTTCCCTATATCCCCTGACAAATCTTTGTGAAACACGTTGAGAAAATGACTGTGACCCATTGTGTAATACAGCTGACCATCAGAATTTTTTTTGAGGTACCCATGTTTGGAACTTTGAATTGTGTAAATCTGATTACACGGTGGGCAATAAAGGGCACATATTTGGTGATGTATTGGCAATATATGAATATATGTTTACATGTGCTATTGCCAATGTTTATAAGTTGCTTATATCAAGCTTTTAACCTCTTCAATACCGGGAATTTTTACCCCTTTCCTGCCCAGGCCAATGTACAGTAGTACAGCGTCATCATATAACTGGTGTAGCAGTGATCAGGGACACTGACTGGTGACAGTACGAAAAAAAAAAAATTTGATAATTTATCAGTTTTTTTTTTTAATTATTTATTTTTTATTACATTTTTTTCCTCTTTTTTAAAGATTCTTTTTTTCATATTACACTATGACCAAAGTAGTATAATGTTACCATAGTAACATTGTACTACTTTGGGGAAGTGATCATTTTTTGCTGTTTTTTTTTTTGCTTTTTTTTTTCTACACAATTTGCTTATAGCAAAGAATTTATTTGCTATCAGCAAGCATTTAACTGAATGAAATCGATTCATTCAGGTTTTGTTGTGATTAGCTGTGATTGGCCACGGCTAATCACTTGACACAGATGGGCTGTGATTGGCCCAGACTGTGCATGTGATCACTATGACCATTCACAGCTAGACACACTTGTATACAATGGATGGCAGGAAAGGAAGCCATCCATTGTATACAACTGTCATGTGGCCTGCTGTGATTGGTCACAGCAGGTCACACGGTACCAGCAACGGGGGGCCGGTACTCAGATCTGTCATCGGCCGTGTCCGAGGAACACAGCCGATGACAGATCTTGCCACAGCGCAGCCCTGTGGGCACGCGCAATGCGCAATCCGGAAGGACGACATGTGACGCCCTCCCGGAGGGACGAGAGGTTTGTTAAAATAGTAAATCCAGCCAATAAAAGAATTTATGGGGACTGTAGAGATGCCATGAGATTACGCAGAACAGTAAAATAAAACAATGTTATATGAATATAATTTAACCACTTCCCGCCCGGCCTTCATATTACTATAGGCTGGGCAGTGGTTAAATTATAATCATATAATATTGTTTTTTTCATTTTACTGTAATCTCATGGCATCTCCACAGTCCCCATAAATTCTTTTATTGGCTGGATTTACTATTTTAACAAGAATAGCTAAGCAGCTACTGCGTTCATTGCTCTTCGATGGATTTCAGAAGTCAGGCTGGAAGGCAAATTCTTTGTTGGAAACCAATGGAAATCCAAAGGTGGGCTGCAATGCCTGAAGAAAGATTAACAGCCAGACTCAGGTAGTTCTAAAGCTACTCCGACCCGTAAAAACAGGTGATAGGAGTGGCTGAGTAGGCCTATCAATTAACAGCACAGGGGGAAATAATTTTTTTCTTTCCCTATTCTTACAAGTGAAAAAAATCTTTAAAAAAACAAGCACATGCTGAATTATCTAGAAAACTAGCTAAAGTATACAACAAGTGTAAGTAACATTTCTGACAAGCCTTTTAGTAGTAGTTTGAAGTGAACCTAAAGCCAAAACCATTTATTTTTGTTTTCTATGGAGTAATAGCCTGGTCAGGTTTTATTCTCTTATTTTTTTTCTCACCGGTCACACCGCTGTGATTTAAAATTGTATGATTTGTGTGCAATTTCAGCGTAATTTCTGAAAAATTTATTGCTACTTGTGAAGATTTTCAATGATTTCTTGCAATTAGCATTGCGATTTCCATTCTATTCTATGTATGTGAAATCACAACAAAGCTGAAGAAAAAGTAATGCAAGAACGACTTTAGAAATCTCGCTTCACCAAAATCGCACGTGTTAAGACACTGACATTCATTAGGTGCGATTTCAATTTGCAAATCGCACCGGAATGACCAGGAACTTTGGGGTCTGTGTCCCATTTGAGAAATGATCGGTTTCATTTTACTTTCTGTCACCAGGACATATAAAGGGGTTCATCTCCCCAGAGGGAACACAGACACAATAAAACCTGATATGGGCTTTACATTTCCACATTTTGTCACAAACTAAAAAACGAATGCCATGGCTTCAAATACACAACATCTACGACCATATCCATAACTAAATGCACTAACAAACCTAGGCTGGCCATACATTATATAATTTTGTTATATAATTTTGATTTAGATTTACCAAAATCATATAATATGGAGGCAGGGGCAGACTGACCATTTGGAAACTCAGGCACTGCCCGAGGGCCCGGGCTCAGTAGGGGGCCGCATGAGATGCCCCTGGTACCTTTTTCATAGGTTTTTTTTAGTTTGGGCAAGGACACAGGGGCCCCATGATCCCCTATTGCCTGGGGGCCCCATGAGTTGTCAGTCCACCCCTGTATGGAGGTCAAACCTAAACACTTCCAATTTTTATGCAATTCGGCAGGCCCTTGCACTACATAGTGGAAGGTAAATTAAAAAAAAAAAAAAAAACTGAACAAGAAAATTGTATAATGTATGGCCAGTTTTAGTAGTGTTGTACCTAGTGTTATTTCATAATACCATACCACAATAAGGGCCTGTGTTGACAGGCTGTTGTTTACTTCTTGCATTGCCATACAAATCTATGGGAATGCAAAACTCATTAGAAGGTGGTCAATCGAAGATCAGGTGCACCTGTCAATGAATTCTCAATGATCTCAGAAGCTTAAAGGATTAGTTCAACGTTCTGACAAAATTCATAAATACACATTTTTTTGCAGGTAAAAAAATGTGCATTTGTTACTTTTGTCTGTAGGAGCCTGGAAAGCATTGTATTAACGATTAGTAGATCGCTGATGCCATGCAGGTCTCCTGCAGACCTGTCAGAATATCTGCTTGCCGTACGGGATGTACGAGCAAGCTGATATTCTGGCAGCAAGCTTGAATGAACAACCACGTCATGTAACATGTTCCCAAAGGTGAACTTATCCTTTAAACCAGTGGTTCTCAACCTTCCTAATGCCGTGACCCTTTAATACAGTTCCTCCTGTTGTGGTGACCCCCAACCATAAATTTATTTCCCAGTAATTATAATTCATGAGTGTCGTCCAATTACCTCCAATACTGCTGCTTTCAATAGCTGCACAGTAGCTGCTTTTAACAGAGTAGCTGCTTTCAACACACAGCAGCAGCAGCTTTCTACACAATAACTGCTCTTTACACATCGGAAATATGTGTTTTCTGATGGTCTTAGGGGACCCCTGTGAAAGGGTTGTTCGACCCCCAAAGGGGTCGCGACCCACAGTTGAGAACCACTGCTTTAAACTGATGCTATCAATGCAAGCCCAGCCCAGCCCAGCCCACTCTTCAGACTCCAGCTTTCCCTTCAGTCTTGCATACACAGGTTTATAGGATCCTTTTCTTTACTGAAACAAATTTTTCTGATTTTACTGCAACCTGTGAACTTCTTCCAGTGTGCATTGGAAGCTGCAGCAAGTCAGATAGAGGTCGCCTCATTTCCTGGCAGGAGGACATACAGCATGACCCAGCTTTTTCATCCCCAGCATGACTGTTCCTGTTTTTTTTAGTTCTTTCAATAAAGGAGACTCATCGTCACATGTGGGTATTACAAAAGTGATACTAAAGTCTTCATACTTACCTGCTCTGTGCAATGGTATTGCAGAGCAGCCCAGATCCTCCCCTTCTCAGGTCCCTCACCGGTGATCCCAGCCCTCCTGTCGGGTGCCACCACAGCAAGCAGATTGCTATGGGGGCACCCAGGAGCCGCGACTCTGTGTGTCCATTAAAACACAGAGCCACGGCTCGGCCCTGCTCCTTTCCTCTCCTGATTGGCTCACTGGCTGTGATTGACACAGCAGCGGGAGCCAATGGTTCCTACTGCTGCCTCAGCCATTCAGTAGTGAGAGTCACCGGAGAACCGAGACTCTCGTGGACATCGCTGGATCGGGATGGGGCTCAGGTAAAATATAAAGGGATGGCTGCTACACACATAAGGTTTTTTACCTTCTTGCATAGAATGTATGAAAGTAAAAAACTCGGAGCCTTTAGAAGCACTTTAAGGTGGTCTGCTTTCAAATACAGCTTGCCTAAGAACCCCCACTGCTTCAGACTGACCCTGGCCAATCAAAGCGTTTTGATATTTGCACAACTCCACCCAAGAACCAGCCCACTGCTTGGGCTGAGGGATTCTGAGAGTACAGAGGCAGGGTGTCTTGATGTTTTCAGGAAACTATGTACACTACACTGCCAGCTCCTCACACTAGCCATGGCCTGCCTAACATTGCATAGAAAATAACAGAGACTGTGATAGATATTTTGGGCCTACAATAAGTTTTAACATTATTGCGAACTTCTGATAGGTTCTGATAGTCTCAGTTCCTGCAACTTATTTACCATCTGTTGCATTACCTCAACACCCCCCTTTTGAAGCTTTCCTGTAGGGGTTTATGACAGTATGGCCACCTGGCTGAATAAGCCCTGGAGTCTCATTTTTAACACCTCCTAGGAAGTATTGTCATAGATCTTCCTGTGGGAACTGGCTTCAAAAGGAGGTATGCTTCTTTGGCCTATCCTAAATTCCATCTGATGAGCTACAGTTGGCCAATATCTTTCACAAATCACAGAGCCCCCCTTTGAACAGAAATGGCAAAATACTAGAACCTATTGAAAGGGGTGTGACTACCTGGAGGGGAGGGGGTATAAAAGTAAGCCATTGCTCAATTTCTGTCCCTTTTCTCCTTGGAAGCCTGGTCATCAGGATGTCTGCGTAACTTATTATTCTATGTTTCTTTTCTGTAACTTTCTTTCCTGTAGTCATCTCTTTGTATTGGTAACATTCTGTATTTTATTTTTATTTATTTCAGGTATTTATTTAGCGCCATCAATTTACGCAGCGCTTTACATATATATTGTACATTCACATCAGTCTCTAACCCTCAAGGGGTGTACAATCTAAGGTCCCTAACTTACATTCATACATACACATACTAGGGACAATTTTATTGTCTGATGGCACTGCTGCCACTAAGTCAAAAAGGTAAACTGCGCCATATTGGATCTAAGAACAGTGGAGCAAAGCAAGACCTCTTCGATGTTGGTGCCAATTGTCTAACTGCTCTTCTGGGGTTGTGCAATAATTAAATCCAATTCACCTACCAGCATGTCTTTGGAGCGTGGAAGGAAACCGGAGTACCCGGAGGAAACCCACGCAGGCACAGGGAGAACATGCAAACCCCAGGCAGGTGGTGCCGTGGCTGGGATTTGAACCAACGACCCTAGTACTGCTAGGCGGAAGTGCTAACCATTTAGCCACTGTGCTGCCCATTTGCATTGTAATATTACTACTTTTAAAATTATACTGGCTACATTATATTTTGTTATATTTGATTAATAGCAAGCTTCTTTTCTGTGTAAATAAATTGGATCTTTATTTTTTGCCCAGTTGTTATCATTTGGTATTAACTTTATTGGTATTAGCCACATCAGGATTGTATAGACAAAAGGTTGTAATCACTTCTTACATTTATAAACATAGATAGAATCAAATCGAATAAACGCGGTAGTAAAACCGCCAAAACAAGACCTAGTGAATATGTAGGGGACGAGGGAAGGCAATATACAAGCAGATTGAACTTCTGCATTCAGATTTACTGTGAGATCAAACACCAGTAAAGAATAATATAGTGGTCTATACCCACTCACCGGACTCATGTAAACTCCTTGATGTACATCTCCAAACTGCCCCTCTCCGATACATCGCCCCAGCTCAATCCTGTCCCCCCGCTGGATCTCGTAGTCTCCCGCTGTCAGGACAAAACCGTTGAAACTTTGTAACAGAGTTGGCAGAGAAAGTGCACAGGAACAGGAAGCAATGAATACGTACACACGACAATGGCGGACACTACAGTCCTCTCTTGCAGGTACACAGCACCACACACACACAATCACACGATAACAACGGCAAGCAAGGCATGTCACAAACATGTTTTCAGGGTTGGACAACCACTCTAATTTAAAAAAAAAAAAAAGAAAAAGTTTTTTCTATTTTTATGTTTCCCTGGTGGAGAGATTTGGTTTCACTTCCCGTCCATACAGAATGTAAGGGAAAATCCCTCGAAAGGAAACACAGATGGAGATAAAAACTTGATAGAGTCTAACTCTTTCCAGCTCTATCCAAAATAAAAGTAAAATGTTTTGGCTGATGTTGGGATTTTTATATTTCATTATTTTTTTTCTAATTTATTATTATTATTATACAGGATTTATATAGCGCCAAAAGTTTTGCTAAGCGCCGTACACTATAGTGGGGGACAGAACGAGTTTCTCCTGTTCTAATCAACAGGACAAGACATTCACTTTAGAGCAGACCCTGTGGTAATATGCAAGGTCCACCTTCCCTTTACAATTCAGCTACTATTAGCAAATGCAAATGTGCCTGTAAAGAAAAGAGTTAAAGTGATTGTAAATGGAATTTTTTTTATTTTCTTTTTTTTTTTAAACAAACCTGTTATACGTACATGCTCTGTGCAATGGTTATGCACAGAGCAACCCTGATCCTTCTCTTCTTGGGTCCCCTGTCAGCGCTTCTGGCTACTTCCCCTTCCCCCCATAGCAAACTTACTTGTTGTGGGGGCACTCATATGGGCTCACTAGATCCGAGCCAGCTCTGTGTCCATAGAAACAAAAAGTGTGGTATGGCCCTGCTGCTCCTCACTGGCTGTGATTGACAGCAGCAAGAGCCAATGCTGTGTCTGAGCCAATTGGGAGGGAGAGGGCCAAGAGAGTCACTGATCTCGTGCACATCGCTGTATGGGGGAGGGGGGAGAGAGCTGCACTAAGGTAAAAAAACCTTCTGACTTTACAATCACTTAAAGGTTTATACTCATCTCACCCCCGTCCATGCGAGGATGACATCACCCATTCCTTCAGGTGAGATACTGTGGTATTACAAAGCAGACCAAATCTCATGAGAAGACGCTCTTGCAATGGACTAGTGTCTTCTCGTTGGATTTTTCTTTCTCTTCCTGGATGGACGGTGAAGTCACAGCCAGTGATGCAGAAGTAGAAAGCATAAAACACATTTTTTAAATTTATTTACAGGTAGATTTTAGATGATTTGAGGAAGAGGAAAGTCCCAGGCAGTTTGCATTTTCCTGCAAAGTCTGCTTTAAAGAGGCCATACAAAAACAAGATGGGTAATAAATACTCTGAGGCTTTTGTTGGACTTGTGGTAATCACAAAGAAAGAAAACATCGGACGTGCGGTAATCACAAAGAAAGAAAACACGTCAAAGAGTATTCAGGTGGCACATAAATCAACTGTCAGCGCAGAGAACTCTTATAAAAAAAATAAATAAATAAAATAAATTATATTTTGCACATAAAAAATAATTGATGAAATGACAACAATTAATAATTAATGATATTCCAAAAAGAAAGTCCAAATGAATCAATCCACAAAACGATCACCCCGTGAGGAAAAAACTTGTGCAAAAATAAATACATGAATATATGTGCATGCTCTCCTCTCAGGTGTGCATTCACCAAAAAAGTGTTGCCTCCCGCTCTCTGGACTCTGGTCATTTGAGTGTGGAACATTGGGAGGAGTTTGCGTGCTGGAATTTGGGAACGCTTGTCCTCGGATTCCAACGTTTCACGATTAAGGAGAATAAAACAACACAGTGGCCTGATTAAGTTCTTGGAAAGTCATCCATTAAAGCCTAGTGTGCCAACCATGATTGTGGGGGGAACACTGTTTCCTCACGGGGTGATCGTTTTGTGGAGTGATTCATTTGGACTTTCCTCTTGGAATATCATTAATTATTAATTGTTATTTCATCAATAATTTTTTATGTGCAAAATAACATTTAGTTTATTTATATATTTTTATAAGAGTTCTCTGCACTGACAATTGATTTATGCACCACCTGCACACTTTTTGAAGTGTTTTCTTTCTTTGCGATTATTTTATTTTAAAGTGGCAGCATAGTGGTTATACACACGTTATATAATAGTGATAAGCATCCCTCATTTACACATTTAGCGCAGTTTGTTGGTTATACACCTTCACTACTTTCATATTTTGCAGACTTGCATTCCATGATAAGCCATTGAACTCAATGGGCATGTTTGACAGGCAGCACCGCCTGTCAAACTCTGGCATCCGAAGTTAACAATGGCTATGAGGCAACGCATTGAGACTGCAGCACGTGTACAGCCCTGTCTGGCTGTATTGATACCTTCCAGGTAAAATCGTGGCTCAGGTGCCTGTCCTAACTGACCCCCCCCCCCCCCCCCCCCCCGGCTGCCCATCTGAAACAGCCCTGCCTGAGTTGACAGCTCCTTGATCCTGCTTTACAATATCACTTGCCATAAATAAACATTCTGGCAATAGATGAGGTAGTGCTAGACCCTATCCAAAAACAAGGGATGGGGGAAAAAAAAAAAAAAAAGACGACATGTATTAGGGACAGGCAACACTTCACACTGGGCAGGCAAATACCATGTACACACAGACCCATTACCTTCATCTAATCCATAGTTTTCTGATTGGCATTTAGAGAGGGAACAGAAAATAGACTGACTTTACAAAACAAAAAGGCACATACAATACAGAGAAATAAACAAGCATCTTGTAACTCTAGCAAAAGCAGCATCTGCAGAACAAATGATTAGCACAGGGACACCTAGGCTTGTGTCTTTGTCAAATAAATGTGTACAAGAAAAAAAATTCAAAACTATCCCTGCAGTCAGACCACCCCCGTGAAAAGGGTTAAATGCTCATTTTTGCCCCGGGTATTTTTGAAAAGCAATTTTACTTACCCTGAGCTCCTGCAGGCTTCCTCTCCTCCGTACAACTGGTCCGCTGAATCCTCTTTAACGCTCTGTCTATCATCACATACAATGCAGTACCAGCAGTCCTGCATTGTAAGTGAGGATCATGGGCGTACTGACCATTTGGAAACTCGGGAACTGCCCGAGGGCCCGGGGTCAGTAGGGGGCCCCATGAGACCATGAGATGCCCCTGGTACCTTTTTCATAGGCTTTTTTGAGTTTGGGCAAGGACACAGGGGCCCCATGATCCTCTATTGCCCGGGGGCCCATGAGTTGTCAGTCCGCCCCTGGTGAGGATGTTAAGGGGCTATCCACAACCCAGAAAATCAGAGGGCAGAGAAGAATGCTGGTTGGGGGGGGGGGGGGGGGGGAGAGTGAGGGGTAAGGTTACTAAATGGATGTTTAATGGTACTGTAGTCAAAAAGGAGCATTGATAGGAGGCCTATAGTCATGGCATACTCTTTGATGATATATTATCAGCATTGTAATACCAATACAAAAAATAGTATAAAAAATTTTGTAACTCTTTATTTAAAGAATAAGTTCACCTTTTGGAAAAAAAAAAAAAGAAAAAAAAAAATCTGCATTTTTTTGCAGGTAAAAAAATATGCATTTATTTTTTGCTGCAGGAGCCTGTAAAGCATGGCACCAGCGATCAGATCGCTGCTGCCATGCAGGTCTCGTGCAGCCAAGCAGATACACTGACAGGAAGATTCAATGAACTACCATGGAGCTCCAACCAGAAGTCGACAAGCACAAAAGCTGTCGGGACTTGTAGTCTCTCATTCACAGAGGAGTGCCGCAGCTGTGTGGGCGGAGCCCTGCACAACCACGGTTTCTTTTTAACCGATTCCTGACTACTCTAGAGCAGAAATACTGCTACAGGGCAGCACGGGTGTATATATACACGTCATTTCGCATTTCCAGGTAGGGGACGTGCGCCCTACCTGCGCCGATGTCAATCGCCGGGTCCCGGACAGCAATTACACATCGGCGCCCGCTGATTTCCGACGATCACCGACGGGGAGGAAGACAGTTTTGTTTACTAACAGTCCTCCTCCCTGTTGGCTCGGGCAAACTGCTCTGAATGGCTGTGCACAGCACAGCCATCCAGAGCAGTGTGCTTACAGTGAAGCACCAACACACTGTCCCCTAGTAAAAAACACCCCCTGCACAAATTTAAGCCTTTGATCTCCCCTCATGTTAACCCTTTCTGCCCAGTGCCATTAGTACAGTGTCAGTGCTTTTTTTTTTTTTTTTAGCACTGATCACTGTATTGGTGTCATGGGGGATGTCAGTAACAGCAAGTCACTTCCCCCCCCCCTTTGTCAGAATGTCCGCCGCAGTCCCACTATAAGTCGCTGATCACCGCCATTAGTAGATGAAAAAAAAAAAAACATTCCAGTATATATACCATCATTTGTAAATGCTATAACTTTCACGTAAACCAATTAATTTACACGCATTGGGATTTTTTTTTAAGCAAAGATATGTCGCAGAATCCCTTTTGGCCTAAATTTAGGACGAAACTTGATTTTTAAATTTTTTTTTTGCTAGACATGTTTAATAGCAAAAAAATTGTTTTTTTCTCAAAACGGTTGGTTTTTCTTTTTTATAGCACAAAAAATTAAAACACATGGGCGATCAATACCATAGAAAGAAAGCTCAATTCATGGGTAAAAAAGGATGTAAATTTCATTTGGGTGCAGCGTTGCATGGCTGTGCAATTGTCAGTTAAAGTAACGCAGCGCTGTAACACAAAAAATGGCCTGGTCAGGAAGGGGGGTAAATCCTCAGGAGGGCAAGTGGTTAATTTGAAAACCTGGGGGTGAGGGGGAGAGAAGATCCCCAAGAGCTGTCAAAGTGGGGGACCAGCAGGGAGCGGAGGCCAATGCTTTCATGACATGTCACACCCTGAATATAGGTGTAACATGTTATGAGAGGTGAACTTCTCGTTTAAACATTTTTCAAAAAGGTACATGGCATAGAATCCTAAACCAATAACAAGTGCAGTTCTACAGACTATCCAAAGATCAAACTCAAAAAACAGGTATCCACATTATATAGACAGCATCAGAAGTCTGGAATTAATGAAGGCCTCCCAGTAGTCTGGGTACATTAAACATCCGGGAGGTTCCATGCACAATAGACTCCTGGCACAAACTTAAGCCAAACAAATAGAACAAAGAAACAAGAACTAAGAAAGCAATTTAGTTGTATCGACAGAGTGAAAAGAGGGGAAAAAAAAAAATAGAAAATGATGGGAGAGAGAAAGAGGGGGAGTCATGATAGTTCTATTTGACAATCTTACTTGAAAAAGTTCTGCCTGTCTACCTCTTTCCACAACTTCTTGGATTCCCAGCATGCTTTGCAGCTTCTCTTTGGCTGTTTACCATCAAATTCTAAGGACTATATATCCCATTGTACTTTGCTGAGATTCCTGTACTGACTCCGCCTCCCGAAACTCCTCCTCTCAGCCCCTCTGCAGTTCAGAAGGCAGGCTCTGTGAAATGTGTGATACAGCAGTGCCTACTCATCAGGCATAATACATGTCACGGGATTCAAGGAAGTTAATGTGTGGGGATCTTCACAATCTTTACAAACTTCAAGATCAGAAGGTAAAGCAGTTTTCTTTTTGTAGAGCTTCATAACAACACCTGATCCACAGACAGACAACCTAGTTCTGCTAACTTTTTTTGTTATATTGTATATGTAAGGTTACCGTTAACATTACAATGTCCCATGGAGATTGTAACCTCTTTTGTCTATTAGTTTACCGCTAACATTCATTGCTTTTGAGATCAGTGTAAGAGAATGAATATCCTCGCATACGCTACTAAAATGAGACAGAGAGGAGAGACAGAGAGAGAGTGAGGAGGGGGGGGGAGAGAGAGTGAGGAGGGGGGGGAGTGAGGAGGGGGGAGGGGGGGGGGAGGGGGAGGGGGAGAGAGGAGGGGGAGGGGGAGAGAGGGGAGGGGGAGAGAGAGGAGAGGGGGAGAGAGAGGGGAGAGGAGGAGGGGAGAGAGGGGAGGAGAGAGAGAGAGGAGGGGAGAGAGAGAGAGAGGAGGGGGAGAGAGAGAGGAGGGGGGAGAGAGAGAGAGAGGAGGGGGAGAGAGAGAGGAGGGGGGAGAGAGAGGAGGGGGGAGAGAGAGAGGGGGGGGAGAGAGAGGGGGGGAGAGAGAGAGAGGGGGGAGAGAGAGAGAAGGGGGAGAGAGAGAAGGGGGAGAGAGAGAGAAGGGGGAGAGAGAGAGAAGGGGGACAGAGAGAGAAGGGGGAGAGAGAGAAGAGGGGAGAGATAAAAGGGGGAGAGGAGATAGAAGGGGGGGAGGAGGGAGAGAGGAGGGGGGAGAGTGAGAAGGAGAGAGGGGGGGAGGGAGAGGAGGGGGGGGAGAGAGAGAGAAGGGGGGGAAGAGGTAGAGCATGTGTATGTGAGTGTAAGTGTGTGTGTGTCTTTTCACTTGCATTCTCTCTCTGACAGACCATTCATGTCAATCCAATATTGGAATTTTAGAATCCATGCAAGCTGACCTGTCTCCTGCCTGAACACAGGACTGACATTCTGGAAATGAATGGGACTGACTGCACAGAACACCTGTGTATCCCCCTGCAGGCAAACATGGCCCTTGTATGGGCATATGTTATAGTATGCCCGTGTGAACAAGGCCTAAATAGAGGGTTGGGGAGATAGGTCTTATTCATATTGCTGTACCAAGCAGTGCAGTTAGTTGTTTTTTGAGGGGGCTGTGGTGGTTTTTGCCCCCCCCCCCCCCAATAAATGAAAAATAAATAAATAAATATATGTGTGTGTGTTTTGTTTTTTAAGATAGAAACTTTGAATATATTCTAAGACCTAGGACAGAATACCCATGAGCTCAGTTGTGAGAGGTTCTGTCTAAATTGCAGAATTCTTCACGGGGATTCACAGAAAATCCAGACAGTAAATTCTAATGACCACGGACAGAATGAAGCAGTAATGGCTTTGGTTTGTTATCTGTTCTCTTTGTGGATACATTGCAAATCTGAATAAAAAATTCCAGACGACCCCCAAATAGCATTTGTCTGCTGTTGTATTTCTGAAAAGAGACAAGAGCTGCACATGAGTACTTACTGGAAGGCATGGTGTACGTGTCCTCTTCATCTATAATCTCAGCATAGTCATCAGTCTCTGCCAACAAAAGACCAAATATCTGTCAGACACAGAGTGACAGCTACTCACAAAGACATCATTGCAAACACCAAACAGCAGCAGAAGGCACCCAGATGTGACAGAGAGGAGATTTGAAGATGAAACCAACAAAAAACAAAGGTCTTGATTAAACGGACAGTCATATTGGTGACTAGTTACCCCCTGAGATCTACATGCAATCTTTTGTTTACAGAGATTACGGTACTCCCCCTGGCAATGCTTTTCTCTGCATCATGGCATCATCCAGGGTCACCAGCTACATTTTTGGACTGAGATGCCAGCTCAAAGATGATGATGATGGTGCCTGCACAGTTCTTGGCTGTGTTCACAAATGTTGGACACAGATCGGGCCTTGTTACAGCCTCTTATCTTGTGACTTGCTACAATGTACAGTCTTATCACTGGGGAGAAGAGACTGAGGAAATGCTCTCTCCTACCTGCAGCAGAGGGAAGACATCATCTCAGCCTAGACAAAGTCATTGGACTAGAGCTCATAGATAGTTTTAATAACAAAAGGTGAAGCTTCCTTGGCAGGTTTCTTTCTTATGTCGCGTTGATTCTATCATGGTCTACGGTGTCTATTGAGGTCATTTGTACAGCTTGTTGGATGCTGCATTTCTTAAATAAACAAATAATTTGCAAAAAAAAAAAAAAAGAAATGAAGGGTTTTTTTTTTTTAAGCATACACTGTTGAATTGTAAAATTACTAAAAAAGCTCACTTTAGGAAACTAAAATTATGGTGAAGATTTGTCTCCCTGCTAGAATCTCTAGAGTGTACAGCAGTATACTGTAGAAAAGGGTGATGCCTTGCCAACAGCCCTGTAAGGGGGACATAAAATTCTACGGGGAAATCCTGACACTGGTACTGAGGCGGAACCCGCAGGGCATGTCACCTTCTGAGCAGCACACAAAATTGAAGTAAGGTTTGAAGCGGAGTTGGCCTGTTCTATGTCATTAAAATTTAGAAATGCATGGTTTGATATAAACCAAAATCACTAACAAAAATGGAAAACTGGTAAAGATACATAAAATTCCACACATGGCGGAGGGAGATATCGCAAATGTGTGCGTCTACAGGAGCATGGATATGGAGTTTCAGATAAAATGCAAACCAAATACTAGCAAGGAAACAAACTGTCCATTCATTAGACACTTTGGGTTCTTTATGTTCTGTATGAATAGACATGCTGCTTTGTAGGTGACAGGTTCCCTTATCTGAAATACTGTCAAACACCCATACATGTTTAATTAGAAAAAGTAGCCTTAAACAGTCAAATGATTGCATAAATTAATACCCAACATTGTAGGAAATCCCCAGGATGGTAGTAGAACCCTTCAGCCCAAGACATAGCAATGTTCTGAATGATAGGAGGGAGACCTGTCAGTGGTAAACAGTCTGGCTTTGCAGTGCCAGGATCAATTCCCACCAGCGTTCAATCTGCACAGTACACTGAAAGATTTCAGTGCTTCTGTTGTGAACGTTGAAGATGAATCGCTCCACAGTGCCTGCAGTTACAGTTGTTAGTGAGGGCTTGCTTTAAAACTATTTGATTGTAAGGATATGCAAGTTGGTTCACCTGAACCACTTCCCGTCTGGCCCATGTACATAAACGGCCGGACAAGAGCAGTGCAGGAGCGGGTTGCCGTTCATAAACGGCGCCCACATTTACAGCCTGTGTGCGCTTCCTGGGAGTGCGCGGTACCCGCTGTGTCCGGAGGACACAGCAGAGCAACAATCGCTGTATGGGACCTCTGTGTGAGGTCCTGATCATGTGATCACTTATTGGCTAATCAGTGATCACATGAATAGTAGTAAACAAGATGTCACTTCTGACATCATTGCTTACTACTTGTGAAATCTGTGAATGATCACAGAGGTCACATGTTACAAGGCTACATCACATAGAAAACAGCCTTGTACGGTGTGCAAGGTGTGCCGTCTATAAACAGCCTCTCCGCACCCTATTGTCTCAACCGCGGTCCTCCGGACAAGAATGCAGTCAGAGAGAAGGTGATCACTGATTGGCCAATCAATCATGCAAATAGTAAGCAAGATGTCACTTTTACATTGCCTTTATGTGGGTGTCACAGAGGTCAAGTACAATCAGTTGACAAGCTGTGACCAATTAAGCTCTCAAATGGCTCCAAGAAACAGAGAGAAAAAATATCTTCACCTTTATGGGTGTAAAACCAGTTCCAAAAAAAAACAAAACAAAAAAAAACAAAAAACAAAAAAAATCCACCACCTCCCACAAGTAGTATAGTGTCACTATGGTGACACTGTACTGCTAGGGTGACAGTATGTAAAAAAAAAAAAAAAACCAAAACATAATATAAAAAAAATGAAAAAGTACAAAATTGTTTTGAAAAATTATGATTTTTGGTTATAAACTAATTTGGGTTTTTTTTTTTTTTTTACTAAAAAGATTGTTTATTTGTAAAATTTTATAAGAAAAACACTTTCAAAATGTTGGGACTTTTTCATTTATATAGCAAAAAAAAAATAAAAATCCCAGTGGTGAATAAATACCACCAAAATAAAGTTTTATCTGTCTCAAAAAAATATTAAAAATTCATATGGGCACGGTGTTGCACGACCGCGCAATTGTCATTCAAAGTGTGACAGCGCTGAAAACTGAAAATTGGCCTGGACAGGAAGGGGGTAAAAGTGTCCGGACCTGAAGTGGTTAAGTGAGCAATACGGTAACAGGGAAAAGCATGGCAAGGTCCCTTTTATCATGTTAGGCCTCGTGCATGCTGGGTTTTTTAGCTCCGATGCATGAGGCTACAGCATTTAGCTGTTGCTGGAGGACACTGGCATGCTGTCTAACTTCACTGCCTGTCGAATTCTAAGCGTCTGACAGCTGCTGTGACTGGATGGGCTGATTGGTGAACTCAGTGGTTCTGTACTTCAGTTTAGGGCAGTATGTGCCCAGGGTCCAATGCCCAGAACGCAGACTGCTGGACTTCCAGGTGTTTATCCCTGGGTACATACTGACCTAAACGTACATAACACGAAGTGCATTTGCACAGACACTGTTCCCTTGCTTGAATGTACATAGCAACAGTGTCTGAACTAACCAGCTTAAACATTAGCATTAGGTGGGGTTTTTTTTTTTTTAAACCCTCTTCTGGCCAGAAGTGTCTGAAACCTGGATGCCCAGACAAAGGTTAGCAGTGCTTATATGCATTGATTAACTAGACTATAACTATGCAACTAGTTTACCTAAACAATGACATTGTGTTTTTTAAGCACATATAATGCATTTTTAATGCATTTTATATTTTGCTTTTAAAGAGTTTATTATTATATATATATTATTTTTATTTAATTTTTTTTAAAGTGTTTCACAGAGTCTATTATCATTTATTAATAGTCTACTATATATAATAAATGCATTTTTAATGCATTTTATATTTTGCTTTTAATGAGTTTTTTATATATTTTATATATATATATATATATATATTTACACACATATATATATATATATATATATATATATATATATACACATTTTATTTTTTTTAAAGTGTTTCGCAGAGTCTATTATAATTTATTAATAGTCTACTATATATAATAAATGCATTTTTAATGCATTTTACATTTTGCTTTTAAAGAGTTTATTATATATAGTTTTTTATATATAATATATATATATATATTTATTTTATTTTTTTTTATGTGTTTTACATTTTGCTTTTAAAGAGTTTATATATATATATATATATATATATTTTTTTTTTAAAGTGTTTCACAGAGTCTATTATAATTTATTAATAGTCTATTATATATAATAAACGCATTTTAATGCGTTTTACATTTTGCTTTTAAAGAGTTCATTATATATATATATATATATATATATATATATATATATATATATATATATATATATATATATATATTCACTATGCCTCTCAGATAAAAGCAATGGAACAACAGAGCTGGCAGGTTTGTTTAGTAAACAAACCCATGAGGTCACATGATTGGCGGCTGTCATGGTGATTACAGGATGGGGAACCAGTCAGTACTGATCCCAATAGTTGGTGTGAGACCAGGGCAGGCACCATATTGAAACTGGGAGAACACACTGCTGCACCTTCCTAGCTCCAGGACAGTATGTAGATGAACATTCCCTTAGCATGAGGGCATCATGCTTGGGAATGCTAATCTACACACTGTGGGCAGGGAGCAGTTCAAATAGCAGAGCGATTGTGTAGGAATGGATATTAGTACAACAAACAACAAAAGAGAAGAAAGCATGAAAGCACAAGTATTACCGTCACCGCTAAACTCTTCTGCGGATCCAGGAAGCATGCAGGGAGAGAGCAGAAACAAGCGTGAGTGGACAGAAATGCATGTATGAAGACAATCAGAGGGGTTACTCGCATCCTGCAGGTTAGAGAGATCATGCCAAGCATCAGGTGCCATTATCCCAAAACTGTGTGCAGGGCGGACAATGCCGTATTACCTAGACTTCAGCAGGAAAACAAGCAGAAAGTTATGAAATAAAATCCTCTTAATTCCCACCCTCAGCTCCCATTGGGGTCACGTGGCAGGAGTGGCAACAAACATTCACATTTTCTAATACAGGTGTGACTATCACAGAGAGGTGTGGAGCAGAAACACAACATTATGGCAGGCTTGGTTTAATGAGACTGCTTCTCTGCATGCAATTATTACCCAGGACACACGAGGGACACTTTTCATCTATATTAATAGTCCATTTTACAGGTCAAGCCTTCAAGGAAAAGGCAATTTGCATGCATAAAAATGTCTTAAAGAGAACAATTCGTTGCTCTGGCAGGAACCTAGAATAATCATTTTTGAACAGTTAGGCCCATTCACACCATTATGGTGTAATAAAGCATGTTTTGTTAGGACCAGTTCATTCAGATGAATGGCCTGCCTTAACGCACCAAAAATGGTGCATGTAGCACCTCTTCCAGTCAGGGGTGTCCCTAGGGTTGGTGTCACCCGGTGCGATAACACTTGGTGACAGATCCCCGCAGAATGGATCGGATCTGCAGACTGAGCATAATGGATCAGACTCCGATCCATTATGCTCCCCAATCCACAGATCCGATCCATCCTGCGGGGATCGTCGGCATGCAACCTATACGGGGTGACACTGGACCCGCTCCATGAAAAAGGCAAGTTGTAATGAAAGCCGACGATCCCCGCAGGATGGATTGGATCTGCAGATTGAGCATAATGGATCGGATCTATCCTGCAGGGATCGTCGGCTTGCTTTACAACTTACCTTTTTGTGGAGGGGGTCCGGTGTCACCCCGTGCAGAGCACACCCCCCGCACCTGCCTCGAGAAGCCACTGCTTCCAGTGCACTTCAGTGTGTTGTGGTGCCATTGCTAATGGGCAGCACCACACTGCGTAAAATGCATTACCACGATGCTATAGTAGAAATGGGCCCTTATAAATTATTATTATTATATAGGATTTATATATTATTATTATACAGGATTTATATATTATTATTATACAGGATTTATATATTATTATTATACAGGATTTATATATTATTATTATACAGGATTTATATATTATTATTATATAGGATTTATATATTATTATTATACAGGATTTATATTATTATTATTATACAGGATTTTATATTATTATTATTATTATTATTATTTATTATACAGGATTTATATTATTATTATTATAATACAGGATTTATATATTATTATTATACAGGATTTATATATTATTATTATTATATTATACAGGATTTATATATTATTATTATACAGGATTTATATATTATTATTATACAGGATTTATATTATTATTATACAGGATTTATATTATTATTATTATACAGGATTTTATATTATTATTATTATTATACAGGATTTATATATTATTATTATACAGGATTTATATATTATTATTTATTATACAGGATTTATATATTATTATTATTATTATACAGGATTATATTATTATTATTATACAGGATTTATATATTATTATTATACAGGATTTATATATTATTATTATACAGGATTTATATCGCGCCAACAGCTTGCTCAGCGCTTTACAATATAACGAGAGACAATACAGCAACAATACAGTTCAATACAAGAGGGTTAGGAGGGCCTGATCCTGGGAGCTTACAATCTAAACGTGTGGGTTTACTTAAAGCAAAAATGGGAAGAAAAGCAGGCAAGTTGCTGCGGACTTCTTTTTTTGTATAATCTGTTTTTATTAAAGATTTTCAAAAAAGAAGGTAAAGAAGCAGTAAGGATAAGATGTACTGAAACATATAAGGCAAACAGCAGTATTAGAAAAGGGTTCAACAGTAGACCCAGTGTACAATAATGTAATACATGCACAAGTCCAGCATATGGCACATGGTACATAGCAGATAACATGCCACATACCCCCCCCCCCCCCACCTGCCATCTGGGCGGCAGTGGGAAGCAGCACAAAAAACTTACCGCCCGGAGAACTGACCGCCATGCAGGAGCTATGTCTCTGCACGAGGCTAGCCAATCTCAGGGTGAAAGGTGAAACATGCCCCTGTATATTTCAAGCATCAAACATAGATTGTATAAATAACATATATAGCACAAAGGGCATTTGCAGGAACTCAGCACTCAAGTGCAATAAGACGGGACATAGAAAAACAACCAGAGAAAAGAAAAATAAGAGGGAGGAGCAAAAGGAAAAAAGAACAGTGAAGGCCATACAGGGCCAGTAGAACAGAAATACTAACACATGATTGAGGGAGTCAAAGCTCGGGGCAGAACAGGAAGGGGACAACTTGGGGAGTAGAACCCTGGAGAGACCAACCACACAGCTAGCCGTCTATTCTGGGTCTGAGCAAGTATAAGGGACCAGCTGGGAGGGGTGTCTGGAGGCCCGGAAAAGTGACCCAAGGAAAGTATCAAAAACATATAAAGCCTGTATCTGAAGGAGAGGTAACCAGGTCCCCCAGTTCCATAAAGTAATACAGCCACCCATCCCAAATACCATGAAATTTCTCGAGGGTGTTTTTGATAGTATGGATCCAGTGTTCCGCCTGATAGACCCTATCAACCCCTCGCTTCCACTCCGCCACAGTAGGGTATCTACTCTGCTTCCATAGGCGTGGTATTAGGCTCTTAGC